GGAGCAGCGTTCTCTTTCTGGTTGCTGGCGGGTTGCTGCTGTGGCAAAGTAGCGAGTGAGTTGCGATTGCGGGCTCGGCTACCTCCTCGTTTAAATGAAGTAGACTTAGGGCCGTTGGGGTGGTTCGGATTGAAGCTCGTGTCACCCGAAGCATTCTTGTCTGACTGGCCAGTGGAAACGGGCCAGCCATTGATAGTATCAGCGGCTGGCGTGACAGAAGCGACACGAGGGACAGGAGTCACAGGAGTCACAGTAGTGGCAGGCTTGTGAGAGGAAGATCTAGCACCACCTTGTCCCCGATTACTGCGCTTTCTCGTCATGTCTATTGATTGTTGTTGGTAATCTTGAGGTAGAAAGTTGGTAGTGTGGCCAAGACCTGTGCTGTTGTCTTCGCTGTTGAGACTATCGACGATAGTGTAGTCTAGGAAGCCTTCGCCGGCGATCGAGTGTGACGAGTTCTGGTCATGCAAGGCTGGAGGAGATGCAGGTTGTGTTGTTGTTATAATTGAAGTATTGGGTGTAGATGGAGGTGGAATTGTAGGTGTAGGTGTAGATGTACACGTAGATGTAGATGTAGACGTAGACGTCGGTGCAGGTAAAGAGGATGGAGAAGAGTATGTTACAGGCTTTTCTGATGGCGGAGATGCAGTGTCAATGTCCTTCGTTTCCGTTGCTCGGGTGAAGAAACGCCAGATGCGGGTGAAGAGGAAGTTGAAAGGTGCAAACAACGCCGGCCAGAGGCTCAACATGTAACGCGAGAAATTGTGGCCCGCCATTGTGTTTTTGTGTTTTTATGTTTCTGCCTGAGCAGCTGCTTCTTGTAGGTATCTTGTGTCTTGCTCTGCTCCTCACTTGCCCGACTTGCTCGTCTTTCCTTCTATTGACGTGGCTCTTTTGCTCCTGCCTCAGCAATGCCCGATAACAGATACATCCACAGCTCTTACACGCAAACAAGCAATTGTGCCTCTGCACATAAAGAGAGCCACACTTGATAGGTGCTTAGGTACTGTGTAGTCGGTAAAAGCTCAATGGCCTGCATCTGTCATGAATAGAATAATGAAGGGGGATTCGACACTATAAGCAAACAGTTGGAATGCACCGAATCGTTGTTGTCATCGAGTCTGAATGAGAATTGGAACGCCATGTAGTATAAATGAATAGAGGGTTTCTATCAATAGAAGGCGACTGTAATGTTATAAGACTCGAGGTAAAACGTGGTTCGATCTACCTGGCAGATGGAGGTATGAAATAAAATAAAATGTTTATAAGATTGTATCAATTCTCCCGCAAGAGAAGTTAATGCAGACAATGAAATCTCGATCTAAGGAGGGAAATTGGATATGTAGTCGAGGAAAAAGAATAAGATAAGTTAGTTACCTAGGTATCTTATGAGAAGTCGTAGTGAGAGTGTGAGCCGACTCTGTTGAGGCTGATCAAGAGCTGCGCTTCAAGGTCCCTCCCTCCCTTCCACAATTTTTTTCTTGGTGAATGAATCCCACGGTGGGGAAGTGGGGTAATACATAGTGTGGGGTGATAAGCTGATATGGATACGGACTCTCAGTCAATACATATCTACAAACTGGCCCGGTTTATGTATAAAGTCAATCTATTACTGTATTGAATTTGAACAGTCATGACTGGATGAATGTCAATTTGAACTTGAAGCACCCGACTCACGTCAACACGTACCGATGGGCAAGTGCCAACTCCCCTCATCTGGTGCAATATCTACTGCCAAAAGCATATCCCAATGCGCCAATAGATTGTTATATTACTTCTTATCACGATGATACCATCAATGAGCCCAGTTGATTCCCCTTATCCGTCGTCTCCAAAACCCACTGCATAATGGCATTCTCACGATTCTCCTCACCAACATACGTAAACACACCAAGGGTACTAAACCCACATCTCTTGTAGAAATCAACAGCATCTCGGTTTGCGTTGACTATGATGGGCAACTGGTCCTCTTCCGCCCTTTTTTTTACTTCCTCGATCATCCTCTTTCCAACACCCTTGCCGCGCTCGCCTTGCAGGACGCCCATCGTATCTATCACTGAAGTTATGTAGTCAGCAGGCTACTCACATGAAGCTGTCATTGAATCGGCTTGAAGAAGCACTTACTCCAGAATTCCTTGACATTCTTCGTGTACTCGACCAACGCCTTATCATTCTTGAATCCCACATCAGCCATATACGCCCAATTGACACCCCAGCACTGGAGCAAGTAATGATATAGGTAGTCATCACCCGCCGCCTTGCGGACCTCCTCCTCGCTGACTCTTGGCCTCCTCAAAGCCTTTACTTCCGACTCTTTCCAGACCGCAATGCCCAATTCTAGCTCTTCTATATCGGCTGCTGTCCTCTTGGTTGCCAATAACAGCCCCACGACAGAGGCAGAGGCGGATTTGTTGCGAGTTCCCTTGACTACCAGGCCTCGGTCCACATCTTGAAATGTCTTCTTCAGCTCCTCGATCTGGCCTTTAAATAGGTCGTCTTTCAGGTCTTTCCACAACCTCGACTGTTGGCTCTTCGCCTCTATTGCCTCTGGTGACAACCACGACTCTGTGATACCTTCGATGGATCTGATAAGGACGTCTGATATCGTGCGATGTTCTTCCAAGACCTTGCAAACGGCCCCGAAGAATGCATTGGCGTTGTCGTCTCCAGTAGGGTTGGAAGTCAACGGTGAATCTGAGCCTTATCTCTTTAGGAGCTTTATGTTGCTGAAGAAACGAATCCTACAGAGCATTTCGGCTTGTCTATCGGCTAGATCCTTACAGGATATGACGTTCTCTGTCGTTGTCATGATTATTGAGGAATACTTATTTGAATGAAGCAGATGTAAAGTAAGATACAGCAGAGAAAACATAGTTGCATTTCCTAGTACTAACTACACTATGATATACTCGAAGACGAACAAAGAAGTTATAGAACGAAACTACATTGGTATGTTAGTATCCCATCGTTGTCAATCTCCTGTTAGCTCTCATTGCAGTGGATTGGGAGACAGAATCAAGAGGCCTCAATTTGATATGCACCTTCAGTGCCACAAGACGTGCTAATATTCGGTCTGAGTTAGCCTGTACAGGGTGTACAGGATGGGGAAGAGTCGACATCGTATTCACTTCCGGAACAAAACGCTTAGTTTTCCACGGAACACACCTAGTAAGAGATTACTGGAAAATGGAGAGCTCAGATGAGCCATACGGAGTTGCCGTACCTATACTCGCACGTACCGCAAAGAGACCGGAATGATGATTTCAGTATTAGGCATGCGACTACCCGGAAGGGAACCGGGATAGGCACAATATATACTAGGTATATCTCTACTTATTCTAGAGTGTAAATTCATCTGCTTACCTAGGTAACTATATATACTATCATTGCTGTAAACGTATAAAGTTCGCCGGTATTTAGTAGGTGGAAGACTCTCCAAGTTCTAACAACATCCTCCAACACCTTGAATAGCATGCGGTGAGGCGCCATACATAGTACGCGCCTTGTGCGCCCACCTCAACATCAAGGAGGGGATTGACCCGTTCTATCGGAATCAGAGTTATCGCCAAGCTACCTACCATGCGCCACCTAAAGGTACGAATCCGAAAAGAACATCCTAATTGGATATGCTAGTCCTCCAAACCCCCGATACACAACCCGGGCGCCTAGTAGTAAACCGCAAGCAGAAATCCATCTATCTCTTTCGGAGCCGTAGTCTGGAGGATACCTTAGCTATGCGTAGCTGCATACCGGCTCCTTGAAGTTTTCGGTCCTGTCCGCATTCCATCCCAGTCCAGTCATGTACGAACACATGAGTACACGTCCAAGACCTCTGGACAAAGGACCGCTTTCACAGGCCACACATGTAAACGTCCAAACAGGAGGCCTATCCATCACAGCGCTAGAATATTAAAATTCGGCATAGAATCGGTTACCTACGACGTCGCTCATCCGTATGAGACTGTAGCATGTACAAGTCCGGGAGCCCCTTCACATACAGTCTGAGCAGGTTATGGGAGCCGATGCCTTCCCACTCGTTTTTCCACACGTTTAACACTAAGGAGTGGTATATCTGCGGCAGATTTACTGCTTGAACTGCACATATTCGTCATGTAGCGCTCAACATCTCAGGTCTTTCGCGTGCTATATAGATATATTAAATAAAGTAGCTACTGCAACACATACAGCTTAGTCGAGGGAGAGCAGGAAGAGGAGCGGCTGTCCGAATCACGAGCCCAAAAAGTCTTTCTGGATTAGCATACCGGTGTTCGGTCTGGGTTATTGTGACAATGTATGTTGGTCCACCGCCACAAAGTTTATAGGATTAGCGGTGTTCTTTGGGACCTGAGAATTCCATGCTATTGCGTAGCAGCCGCCTTGATCAGATGTAGATGTAGGTGCCCTGAGACCCCCATAGAGCCTTGAGAGGTCTAGGAATCACTAGACTGCCTACCCTATTGAGCCCTCATACTATTACTTACGACCTAGCCGTGATGGCCCTTCTATTCGCTCTACGACGTCCCGAAACATTGAAGCTATCTTATCACGGTGTTTCCCGGTCTAAGGTCCAAAGGAGAACTCCATGAAGTATCAGCGGGCGTAGGTGATGAAGTCTCCTAGATCACAGAGTCTGGTGACCATTATGGATGATTCCTACGTAGATATCAACCCCCGAAAAGGGAACGGCAAACTTGCAGCAAACTGAATAATTATATCGCTATACTGCCAACAAACAAGACCCGCCTACGAGGTATTCTCAACCTAAAAAGTCAGTCCATTCTTTTTCGCACAACAAACTACACGAGTCAATGCCCTCGCTGCATTCATGACATGGGCCTATGAAGACAAGTTTCTCTTCTAATCGGTTCCATGTTTGGCCGCTACTTGGCCGCTATCTTGTGAATCTTATGTAATGGGTACAGACCACGGCGGGCGGCTAGATAACCACACTAATTCAGAAAAAGAAGAAAAAGGGTGGAAAAAATTTACTTTTCTTTAGTTGCTTAAACCATGATTCGAATATGGGATTGCTCGGCATTGAGTTATTGGACCCTCCACAACGAGCCGTACTGACCACTATACTATTTAAGCGTACTGCATTGTCTTTTGGCGGGCTTTTCTCGACGCATTTCAACTCACGTCTCCGAATTCACTCAACTCCTCCCCTTGTTACTCGACCTCAATCTCAACCTCAACTCCCCCTACTCTCCTGGTTGACCATCATCTTCCCCTTCCCCTCTACATCACGACCCCCTAACCCTAAACCGAAACTGTTCCCCCCTATCCAGATACACAACCCTATCCCTCCACTCCTCTCCCATATCATCCACCTCCTTCTGAAAATCTGTGAGCGGGGACAGCATGACGCTATAATCGTCAAAGTGCACCGGGATCGTCAGATCCGGGTTCAGTAATCTCATGAGCTGCACGCCCTGCTTCCCATCCATCGTGACCATGAGCAGCGGCATTTTGGGACCAGGGATCGTCGTCCCGCCGAGATGGATGATCATGAGGTCGATCCTGCCACCCTCGCTCTTTGTGTGGGAGGAAGAAGAAGAAGAGTGCGGGCGCTGCAAGAGTTCCTGCTCCCGGATGTACACGGGGATCTGCTTTAGCTCGTCTACGAATAACGTGTCCCCGGAAATATAGATTCGGTATCCCGTGTCGAGGGGCTGCGAGTCCGTCTTTGTGTCCCCCTTTCCCATAGATTCCGGTGTTTGGCTCGTAGTCGTAGTCGTCGTCGTCGATGCGTTGGACGTGGTAGAAGAGGGTGCCCACCCCATCTCAAGCAACCACCCATTCGTAGGCGGCACGGCGCCAAGCAACTCGTTCGCGACGGCTAGCGGACCGGGTGGGACGTGTTTACCAGGCATACCCGTGATCTTGATGACGGGCACCTCCCCGTTGTGGACTTGCCCATGTTTTCGGCCGTCAATGTGCAGCGTCATGCTTTCAAAGTGATCAAGGTCATGAACGGAGCGGAAGGGACCTCCCTCTCCTTCCCCGGCGTATCGAGCCGCAGAAGTCAAACAATCCTTCGCATGAGGCGTAGTGACAATCACAAAATCGCGATTCAACTTCCCCTCCACGAGACGATCAAAATGGTCCTCATGGTAATGGCTCAACAGGACTAGATCAATGGGCGGGAGCTCATGTAAATCGACGGAGGGGTTCGTCAGGCGCTGCGCCGTCACACCCGGCCCCAGATGCACGTGGTCCCCTTTATGCAGAAAGTTTGGGTCTGTTAGGATGCGCAACCCTTGCCATTCGATGATAGTCGTTGCCGTCCCGATGAAGGACACGCTTGCGTCTTCGGGTTTGGTACCGGTAAATGTAGAGGTGGAGATAGTTTGGGAAGTGGGCTGGGAGGTTGAGGTAGAGGCAGAGGAAGATGGATGCGTGTGCGTCTTGCTCACTCGTAGAGCTTGTGGCGCCTCGTCCGGACTCTTCTGGTCGCGGAGCAGTGGCAGACGCTTGGATGGATCGAGGTGGAGATGGCGCATCGGCAGCATTCTTTGGTAAGTTCTCTGGGCACAGATTTATAGTATTTCTCTTCCAATTCGGCTGTTCGGCAGACCACTATTCTGGGTCTAGGATTAATATGGTTCAAATGCTGGGTTGAACATCTTATTCAGGTGATTCGGGGCGTTGTTCAACGTGATTTGAGAGTGTTTTATTTAAGTATCGTGCCATGACGTAAACCATAATTTATAGTGGTGATGTATTCAATCCGTCACCAGTCCCACCCCTCGAATCTGAGGTCGTAGCAAACCAAGCACAGGACATATCAACCAGGAAGCAAAGGTCCAGCGAGATAAGCATTCAGTAATGTGTACATCCATGTTCAGACCCTTCATGAGCGCGACGAATATCACTCTTATCCTAATGGATAGCTTGGCTGCTCACAAGGGAATCTTAAGAGTAATTGTAACACTGTATAGTCGCGGTGCGTCCATGTCACCCATCTGAAATCAACGGACTTTATAAAAGAAGCAGTTGGGGTCCGTATTGATCTAATCTAAAGAGAGTGAAGAGTCGGCGAAAAGAACCGACCCTCCAAGCATCATCTCTCTATAAGAACCTAATCATCATCGCATCGTGACAACCAAGCTGGACCGGAGTCCCCAACCACCCCTACCTCAACTACTTCTCCACCATCGTCATTTCACATCGGGGTATCATCTGACGAATCTCCTGTAGAAAAGACAACGCTAGTCATCATGCTATGAATACAAAATTTAATGGGTAAGTTCTTTTGCCGCAGCTAGGATCCCTCTGTATCTTTATAACAGTGGCATCTTGCCCTGGCTCGTAAGCCACCCGGCCTGCTCTTGTGGGGAGGTTTTTGCCCCTAGAGTGAACGAGGTGTCATGTGTCCAAGACTTTAGCTTCCTGACGAGATCGCATCGCACCACGCGCTGGATCTGCGTATATGAAGCCTTGGCATTGTTGATGATGTCGGGATGCAGCTGCATCGCAAAGGAAAGTATGTATGAGGTAGCGGATGGTAGATGTGCGTTTGCACCATGGGGTGGAGTGTGTTGGCAAAGCTGGGTGTAAGCAGCAATGACTGACAGTGCGCTCATCGAAACGAAGAACATGAGCGCCGAGGGCGCAAAGCTTGCGAGGCAGAATAGAAGCATAGCCGTAGTATACCTGGCAACCTTGCCTGATACTATTGGCTGTAGATTCTCGATAAGGCCATTGCCTTTGGACATGGTCGTACGGATCGGAGAAAGTAATGCTACCACTGCCAATGCGCCGAGGCTAGCGATGACAGATACCGTTGGCAGCGTACCAGATGGTGACACTTTACCGGCCGCGGCGAAACTTTGCCGCACTACAGCAGTCTTGCCAAGTGCATTCTCTGCGTTCCATGATACTGCCGGGCTAGAATCCTGTTCGGCAGGCGAGTGTCTCACCATGCTGGAGACTGGAGGCCTTATCATCTGCTTCTCCGTGTTCAATATCGCCCGTGACACGAAGTCGCTGGTTGACGATCGTCCGTTCGGCGCACCAGGTGTCATTACCGGTACTAGAGACGGTGATGGAGTTGGCGAGCTCGGAACCCGGTACATTGTAATCTGTGCCAGCGCGGTGGAACGAGTCTTGTGTACATTATCCTGTGATACGTTTAGTTCAAGCCTGAGTGTGAAAAGGGAACTGCTTCGTACCGAGAAGCTAACTTCTGCTGAGCTGAGAAGAGAGGATGGTACGACACTGGCCAACGTCGACGAAGACCGAGTTTGTACGCCAGTCTCTACAATATTTGAGTTGCACAGCGCCGAACCTTCTGGTACTCCTTGTTCTTCTCTTAGGCCACCGGTAGCAGCTGCGGTGCTGCTTGGTACACTTCGAGACTGTAACCTGCCATGGGTAGTTGATGGCCTCCGATCATGTATTGCCTCACGTCCATAGAGTCCTTCTGATGTGACACCTTCTAGCACATTATCCACGACGTATGGTTCTATCGCGATCGTATTGACCACGGTGTGGCTGGGCGCAGCTAGTCCACCTGGAGCAGCATGTATGCTGCCCTGGACAACAACATTTGTATCTACGATGCTTCTTGACAACTGGTGCCTGTAGTTGGTCGTGTCATGGAAGAGTCCATCTCCAATGTCGGGGATTACATTTCGTCGAGACGAGAATATCGTCTCATTGTCGACCGCATTGGTGTTCACTTCGGACGCCGCCACACTATTTGCGGCTTGTTGATGGGCGTCTAGGTGCCTGTTACGGTAGTGATCTACCCGTTGTGATTGAATAGGTGAGGCGGCAACTTCTTTTCCGAAGCCAAGCTCCTCGTCTAGGAATGATGATTCCGGTGAGTATAGGTTGAAGTCCACATAGTTGCTTCCAGCCTCGAGTCCACCCGGATTTAGGTATGGTAGAATTGGCCGTTGAGTGTGGCCATCGGGGGCGTCTTCGGTGATGTTTACATCCCGGTCAATTGGAGTGATTGGTAGTTGTGAAGGCGAAGTAGAAGAAGATGAGAATGATGCAGTCGCAGTCATGGCGGGTGAGAAGTAGCCAGCTGGATCAAAGATGAAGTCGTAGTCGTATGGAACCGCATCTACGAATTCTTGGTCGTACTGGATGAATTGGTCCCACTCCATGGAAAGACCATCGGTAGGAGCGTCCAGAGACTGTGAAAATAGGGAGTCGAGTGGTGGAGATGACTCGGTTAAAACTTGATCAAATTCTGGGATAGCTGAGACCTGCTTGGCAGCTATTTGCGGCGGCGCTGCTACTGGACGAGAATTCTTGCTGGTCTTCTTGGCCACCTTTCCGGAAGATGTACCGGCAGCGTGTCTCTTGTGGCTAGGGTCACACTTCGTCTTCTTTTTCCTGCATGCCTCGCACGCCTTGATTATCCGCATCAAGTGAGCGTGGTCCCTCTGCTCCTTGGTCTTGCAGCCTCGTGATGCAGAGTTTGTAACATCTCGCCCGTCCTTAGTCATTATCTTCATGCCCGGCAGGCTGGAGAAGTCAGTAGCAGAAGTGGCCTTTTTCGAGGATGAGGGAGAAGCCATCTGTGGGGAAGAGGTGTTGGTCCATTGGCTCTCAGACATAACGGGAGAAGTAGAGAAACCAGAACAATAGCCGGAGTCCATGGCCGGAGACGCGCCGGCAGAGGGGACGGTTGGGTAAACCATGAAGAACTTGAAGAGGTCGCCAGTAGCTATCGTGTACTCGAAGAATTCCATGGAGACGGCTGCCCTCTTATCGAGTATGGAGGCGTCTCCAGGGATGTAGGCGTTGATCATGTCATCTAGTTGCTTGGATCCCATTGCAGGGAAGAATTGCAAAGGGGCACCGATGGCGGGTTGATGGACTGAAAACCCCATGAGGAGAGTGTTGCTAGAATTATTCTGAGAGAACGACATGGCGAAAGTGGTGTTATTAGTCACGTAGGAAATGTCGATTGGATACACTTTGGATCAAGCCTTTGTGGAAAGCCCCAGTAGAGCGGGAAGCGCGTCGCTAACGAATACCAACACGTGTGGATTGAGTTTGGTGTTGCCAACTCGGATACAGGGACACGGCCGTGTCTTTGCGGAATCCGAGCTGTATATGGGTGGATGTAA